ATCCTAGATAATTCAAATATTCTAGAAATATAATAAAATCATAATCATTTCTTTTCATATCCCATCAGTTCTCCCCTGCTTGAAGAACTCAGTTCCTGACGAGTTAAAATTGATGCACAAATCTTGGGAGGGAAGGGAGCGGTAAAGAGCTCGGCACATTACTTCGATCTAGGAATCCCTTCCAATGAGTAAGGTACTAGAAAAGAAACCATTGGCAATAGTGAGTAACTGGATCTTGGGTAATATCTAGAAAACCTTTCCAACGTACAAGATATTGTTGGAGTGATTTGTTCAATGATGAGATAATCTTAGGAGGTGCTGCTTTCAAACGAGATGGCACTACAGAATAATGAAACTGAATCTTGCTAGCTACAATATGAGAAGAAACTACTTGCACTTGTGCCAATTGAATAACCTGATCAGTGTTTGAAGAAATTTTACTGTTAACTATAATAAAATCAGGGGTCTCACTCAATTGAATCACAGACATGTTCAATGGTGCCTGTTGAGTACTATGAATGGCCACTATATGAGCTGTGGGTACTACTTCACTTAGCTTTACAATATCTTCTTCCGTGTTTAATGAAGGAGCGCTTTAATCTCTATTGGTTTGGTTATTTTGAAAGTGTCTTCCACTTGAGTCTCTGAATTACTAATGAATTTTATAAGCTTATCAATTCCCTTATTAACTCATTTTTCAAATTTATTGATTGCATAGTCACATGATTGCTTCCAGTAGTCAAGTTTAGCTTCAAGTTGTTCTATTGGTACCTTGCAATCAAGTTGTCATTGGATGATATGCTCATAGTGGGAATGATATGTAAGCTCAACATAGTATTGAGCAACATAATAATCACAATGAACATAGTCGTACTGCACCTAGTTGGAATACCGATAGTGTTGAGTAGTGTATGTAATACAATCATGATCAATAGCTTCATATGGTTGTCGTGTGCATAATGACACTTCTTATAAGGGTATTCTCTATAACTCATACTTAGACCTAAGTAACATGACAATTTTTTTTCTCTTCCACTTTCTCTTCTTTCTTTCTTTTCTCTCTCTTTTTTTGCTAAAATTGTACAAAACTAAATATAACAAATAAATATTGATAAAGAAATTAGAAAAGAAAAACACCCTAACCTTTTAATGGCTTTAGTAGCATCTAGATATTGCCAAAAACTTCGGGTGAAAATTTCAATTTTTACCAAACTCGGGTCCCGAAGTGAACTTTTCCCAAAAGTTTGGGTCAAAAGTGAAATTTTTTCAAAAATCAAATAGACGCTGCAGCATGCAACAACGTGTGGGATCTGGACGTTGGAGAATAGGACGCACATGGCAGCGCGTGAGACAAGCTCTAGTCACCAAACTTGTGGATAGAAGGAAGACGTGGCGGGTATGGAAGTTTGGGTTGAGGTGTGTTTGGTAGTTCAAAAAAAAATTTTAAGCACGTAGTAAGCACGTAACCAAGCTCTAATGTCAAATTGATATAAAACAGAGAAAGCAAAGGGGAAGGAAAGATAACAAGGAGAGCAGAGAAAGGGAAATAGAGAACAAAGAAGAGGAAAAAAGCTGAGAAAAAGCAATAGCTGCAATATCGTTCAATAATCAAGTTTGCTATCTAATAAGAAACTTAAAGTTACTTATACTAAAATAATAAAAGTGAAAATAATAACAACAACTAATCCTAATAATAAAATAGTAAAATACTGAGAAATCTAAATAAATCCTAAAAATCTAAATAATCTAAATATCCTAAATAATTCAAATATTCTATAAATATAATAAAATCATAATTATTTCTTTTCATATCCCATTAGTTTGATGGCAAAAATCTTGATGACTTTGCTGTCCAAAGTTTAAAAATTATAAGAAATGATTAGGAAAGGATAGAAACTATGATTAAAAGCTTCAGTTAGCTTGTTTGGTTGTTGTTTTAATTGATTTTGGAAGAAACTCTAAATCTCCTAGCTTGTGGAACCATCTGACCAAGTTAAGTTTAGAAGATTAGGAATTGTTTTAGATTAATCTGATGGTTCCAGTGAGTTTAGAATGTGATTTTGTGTAGGAAAACACTAAAAGGAAATGTTTGAAAGCATTGAAATCAAAAATGAAATTTTTGAACCCTAATATGCATACCTCTTGGCCAAGAGCATTTGGATAAAGAGATTTTGATTTTGATAAAACCAAGTTGATATTTGAATTTGATATGAAAAATTGTGCAAGAATAAACCTAGAGACTTGTGAAAACAAAGGTGAAATATTGATGTCAAAAATCAAAGAGAAAGGGGGCTATGGAATTATCTTGATAATTAACGGATTTTTATGTGGTATTATTGGTAATGTGGAATATGTTTATGCATGAATTGATAGGCATTGTTCAAATCTACAAAGAGGAGAAAGATGAAGGAACTAAAATTGAAAACTTAGATCATTAAAGAGGTAGCAATGAACTTGAAATTTGAATGATAACTTGCTTTGCTTGTTTTGCTACATATTGCTTGATTTTTTTTATGCCATGATGTGGTAGGGTAAGATCCGTGATGGTATGTTAACTCCATGCATAATGTGCCTTGGCTATATCCAATGTTGAGTGGTATGATGTTATGTTTAATTGCTCCCTTTTCATAGCATAAGAACATGTTAGTATGCATAACATTTTACTAGTGACATATGGTAATTTTGCATTGCAGGTTTAGCATGATTATTGTGATTCTTTATTACTGGGGTTTTTATAAAATCTCACTCTTTTTATGTCTAAATAACCAACCATTTAGGGGCTAGACCAGCTAAGGAGAAGGGTAAAGGGATCATATTGGGATGAAGAGTTCTATGCTTGTATTTTTATGAACTTTTGTTAATGCAAGTTTGTAAAAAATATGTATGAAGTTCGGATGCTTGTATCTATGACTTTGATGGCTGTAAAGGATTGATAATAGTGTCATTGGATATGTGTTATGTGAATGGAAAAATCATATGATGCCAAGAAAGGAAATGGTTAAGAAAAGGTATGAAAATGGGATAAAATAACTCTAAAAATAGCCAATTTTCATGCTAACGTGATTCTAGTCAAATGAATAAGTTTTGAGCTAAAACCTAGCAGATATATAGATCATAGTTTTAGCTTTAAAACAAGGGGTAATTTATCAAAATTAGAGTTTTGTACAAAAAGTTATCGTTATCCAAAATTAGGCATAAATTCTAAAAAATTAAAAATTTAGTAAATGAACAGTATTTCTTTGTGTGAATTCTGGGCATGATTGATAAGAGCTTGATACCAAATAGTTTTTTTTTTCTCTATAAGAGCTTGAAGTAGGACTTAGAACCACTTTATTTTGATTTTTTAAAATTAGTTATGATCTTTCAAAGTTTAGCCTAAGTTCAAGGTTATAATGAATAGTTACCCGAAATTAAAATTTTTGAAACTTAAATTTTTCTATCTTAAGACCTTGGGAAGTGGTTCCAATTGGCTCTATTTGAAAGTTTATGTGGTCTAAAAGGTAGGTGCTACATTTCCTCTAGGGTTTTAATCGTCCAAACCCTTTACAAATCTATCCCAAAACAAGCTCTAACAATAACAAATTAATTTCACAAGTGAAGTTGAAGCTTACTTTGAGTAATCTCTTGAATTTTCCTAAGTGTTCTTTCCTTTCTTACTTTCTCTCTCTTCATATTTCAAACCAAAACCTTCTCCTTCTAAGATCCCTCTTTGGCCAAAATGTGAAGGCAACTTGGAGGTATTTATAGACAAATTCTTGGCCACTACTTTACAAATTTTTGCCCTTGGGAAAATGTATTATTCCCAAGTCCACATGCCTTAAATTCATGTCATCTTCTCCTTGATGAAGCCAAGTGTCCTAAAGGTTTCTTCCATGTGACCAAATCACATTATTTAATTCCTCCTTTAACCTAATGATGCCATATGTGCAAAAGCGTTTTTAATCATGTGATTTAGCTTAATATTTTAATTATCTTTCAACAAACAATTCACACAATTTTCTCTATGTACTATGCATCATGCACCATATTGTAGAACAAAACAAGGAGAAAAATTTGTCTCACAAAGCTTTATAACATTCTACTAAGTAATCCCACTTTTTTGGATGAATTTTTTCTAGATCCTATCCAATCCATTGTCTCCAAAAATGCATCCTTGTGTGCCAATAACTCTCTTTTGTTTTAAGGAAGTCCCATGATTTTGCTCAAATTTAATTTCACCCTACAACTTTTTAACTTCAAGTTTCTTTAAAATCAGATTTTGCTAACAAAAATTAAGCTTAAAATATTATTAAAACTAACCTTTTTACCTTCTGATGTTGAAAATAATTTTATAATCTATAATAATCCTCCAACTAATTTTGTCATTGTTTTTTTGGAATTATTTAGGTCTCTGTGTATTTTAAATAATTAATTTTGCCTAACTTTACACTATTTAGCTAAAAATATCTGAAATATAAAAAATTCTGTAATAATTTATTTTCATTTGATTAACACCTCTAGGGTCTCAATTACTGTTTTAGATACTTTGTTCTATGTTTCATGACTTTTCAGAAATTTTTAAGAGATTTGGCAAAATTTATTTGTCAGTCTTTTCTTAAACGGATATTTTGAAAATGATAGTATAATCCTTGCTTGGATTTCAGTTCAAAAGTTGTTTCGTCTCTATGTTTACTACACTGCCTAGCCCTTGGTCTATTTTATATCCCCTATTTTTAGGATTATAATTATTAGGATGTTACACGAAACATTAAGTTTTTAGGGTAAAAATTTCATTTTCAATTATAAGGCTTCTAAACTTGCTTTTTTGCTTGTACCCTATACAAATTTTCATTTTAAACTTATTAGAAACATCAAAATCAATGAATTCCATCTCTAATACAAACCTTAGCCATGGCTAAAATTAAGCATAACAAAAGGGAGAGTCAAAATTTGACTTTATTCATCTTTCACCTTCGTCATCTTTCTTGAATTTAAAAATTTTTTAACCAAAAAAAAATCAGATGGCGACTGGAGGGCGAGAGAGTGCTGAGGGAGAAACAGGCGAGGGGAAGAGAGGGCAAGGGGCAGGTGACGGCGACGGTAGGGGAGGACCGGAGAGAGACAAGGGACCCATCCCTGTCACGACGTTTGTTTTTGGTAGTGGCGGAGGAAGCGTCGAGAAGGGAAGAACTCCAGGGGAAGGGACTGCCGCTAGCAACCGGCGAACTGGGTCATGGTCATATAAAGAGAAACTCCTCTCTCTAGGGTGTGGAGGGTTCCTAGTTAGTCATGATGAACAAGAAGACATTGTCAAGGGCTAGAAACAATTTTTTGCGAAGCAGAATGCAGAAAAGGACCCTGAGAAGGAGAACTCAGAGGAGGACGAGAGCGACGTGAATATTGCAAACGGAAAATATCCAGTATTAAGTGTGACGGCGGAACAATACAGTGCATGGTGTCAACCATGGATGAACTCATTGATAATAAAGCTACTGGGGGCGCATGTTCCAAAACACATCCTCATAGACAGGGTGCGGCGAATGTGGAAACCACAACAACCTCTGAAGGTTACCCCCCTGAGTAATGAGTATTACATAGTATCTTTCACAAGCAAAGAGGATAGAGATTATGCTTTTCAAGAAGGACCTTGGATGATTGATGACCATTATCTCTTAGTTCAAAAATGGCGACCGAATTTCAACCCGTGGAAGGCAGACACCCAACAACGCATTGCTGCCTGGATTCACATCCCAGACTTACCAATGGAATTCTACAATATGGAGTCGTTACGTATGATCGGTAATATGGTAGGAAAGACAATTAAAGTAGATAGATCCACGTCTATATATGACAAGGGGAGCTTCGCACGGATATGCGTTGAGATTGACCTTCAAAAGCTGCTATTACCAGCATTTACAGTATGGGGCGAAGATCGACAGATAGTTTATGAAGGGCTTCACCAAGTGTGCTTCTGTTGTGGTAAGTACGGCCATCAACAGCAAGCATGCCCCAGTAATTTACAGGATAAAATCGGAGATGTTGCAACTAGAGGGACGGTGCCCAGGCCGGATATAACAAAGGAATCTGCTGAGACATGTGACGTGAAGGAGCAAGAACTGATCAATGAGGGCGGCCAAATCCAGATTCCGATGAAGGAAGGCTCGCCGACGCCAAGCAACGGATGCTTGGGGCCGCAAATGTTAGTTAAGCGGGACTTTCGGAGAGGAGTTAATCTGATAGAGAAAAAAGTGGGATCGGATTTGGGAAATCTAACTAGAAATCAGTCGCGAATCAAGAAACAAGATATGGTGAAGAGCGTAGCGAATCAGATGGGATCTCAAAAGGATACTGCTGAAAGAACGGGATCAAGGAAATCACTAAGGCACAATTTTGGGAAGGATATCGGCAACTCTACTGCCACGTGGATTAGAGTAGGCTCAAAAAGAAAGAATGATGCGAAGTGCAAACGTGGCAAGGAAAATAAAAATTCTGACACGGTTTGCGTGAGCCAAGACCCATCTATTAGCACCAATCCTTTTTCTATTCTTCAACATGTCCCTTTGATGGGTCAAATGGATATGGGCCCAATATACGTAGGTGGTTCTCAAGGCACAACATGCATGGATATCATGCATAATAATGGGACGTCGCATGAAGACACGCTAGCTACCCCTTCGGATGACCCCTTGGTTGCGGAGCCGACCTACTCCTCTCTTTTGGATATTGTCCAGGCGCGGGACGTTAATGACGTGCCAAATTTTGAAAATGTGTCTTTATGAACTACATAATCTGGAATTCGAGAGGTACAGGGGCAAAGACTTTTGCTAAACTGACCCATGAAATTAAAAACCACTTCCAGTTGGATTTCCTGGCGCTGGTGGAGACTCGTGCAGATAAATCAAACACAGAAAAACGTATTGGATGTCTTGGTTTTCAAGACTATATTTATATTGAAGCTGAAGGGTACAGTGGGGGGATCTGGTGTCTTTGGAATGCTGGGATTAGGAAGCTCGAAGTCCTTGAACGAAATAGACAATTCATTCACTTTAGAATTGAGAATAGCCACCGTGATACCTGGGTTATGACAGTTATTTACGCGAGCCCAAATGTTATGATGCGTCGAAATTTATGGGGGCAACTCGCTCGAATCGCCAGCGTCACTCAGGAGCCATGGTTACTCGGCGGCGATTTTAATGCAACGCTATTAGAGTGGGAAAGACGATCTTCTGCAACCTATAAACTTTCAGCTGATAATGACTTTTGCAGATGGTTTGATGAGAGCAATCTTCAGGATCTCGGATACTCTAGCCCCGATTTAACTTGGAAAAGAGGGATGTCGGAAGCTCGATTGGATCGCTTTTTAGCAAACGAAGCTTGGTGTCAGTTATTCCCTCAGGCAAAGGTTGCTCACTTGCCTTTCTATAAGTCTGATCATCGTCCACTTCTTCTTCGTCTTGACTTACGCACAGAACGACCACGCCGTCCCTTCCGTTTTATTGCATCCTGGATCCTGCACGACAATTTTAATGATTTCGTACGTGATAATTGGAAGGAGCATCTGGATTGGCAATCTAATATTACTCAGTTCACTGATGCTTGCCGAGTTTGGAACAAACAAGTCTTCGGGCACATCCAGGGCCGTAAACGAAAACTCATGAGGCGATTAGATGGGGTAACTCGGGCTATTGCTCGTGGTGCTAATCGAAGCTTTTATGAAGACATTCAGTTAGAAATATGGAAGGAGCTTGAGAGTGTGATTGCCCAAGAATCACTCTTATGGGCTCAAAAGGCACGTGTTAATTGGGCCGTATATGGGGACCGTAACTCCAAACTGTTCCATGCCCATGCCAATAAGCGAAGGAAGGTTAACCGTGTTGATGCTATTCGACTAGATGATGGAGCTTGGTGTTATGACACGGAAGAAATTAAACAGCAGGCTACTACCTTCTTCTCCTCTCTATTTCAAGAGGACCTTCCTGTTCGAGATAGCCTGAACTGTAGAATCACCTATCCCCCACTTGATGAGGTGTTTCGTAAAGGGTGTGACCGTGCTGTTGATGAAGAAGAAATCAAAAGTGCCTTGTTCAGTATGGGACCCCTCAAGTCTCCAGGGCCTGATGGTTTTAATGCACTCTTTTTCCAAAATCAATGGGGAAGGATCCGAAACTCACTGGTGACATGTGTTCAACGACTCTTTGACCGCCCTGACACGTTAAGAGAGATCAATGGTACTTTGATTGTGCTTATTCCCAAAAAGGACCCACCGGAGACTCTTAAAGATCTTCGCCCCATTAGCCTTTGCAATGTAGTATACAAGATTGTGACTAAGATTATGGCAAATCGAATAAAGACCTTTTTGCCCCAGATCATCTCTCCAAATCAGTGTGGCTTTGTGCCTGGTCGTCTTAGCTCTGATAATATCATTGTGGCTCAGGAAGTTATTCACTCTATGCGTAACATGAGAAGTAAAAAAGGCTTCATGGCTATTAAGATTGACCTTGAGAAAGCCTACGACTGTGTCAATTGGAATTTTCTAATGGGATGTCTCAAGGAATTACAGCTCCCTAATCATTTTGTAGACATTATCTCCTCGTGTGTTAGCACAGCAGACTTTCAACTGTTATGGAATGGAGACAAGGCTAAGAATTTTTCTTCCTCTAGGGGTGTGCGCCAAGGAGACCCAATTTCCCCTTATCTGTTTGTTATATGTATAGAGAAACTAGCTCATATCATCCAAGAAGAGATTGAAGATAATCACTGGCGTCCTATTAGACTCACTAAAACAGGACCCCCCATCACTCATCTTTTTTTCGCGGATGACATCCTTCTTTTTGCAGAAGCTAATCTCGAACAAGCAGATTTGATTAATCAATGCCTTGAGAAATTCAGTAGAAGCTCTGGACTGAAGGTAAACCACTCAAAGACTCGCATTTTCTTCTCCACGAACATAAATCATAATAAATGCTCAGAAATTAGTGGTAGGCTGGGGTTCACTCAAACTTCAGATCTTGGAAAATATCTGGGTGTGAATCTACACCACACAAGCGTCAACAAGGGATCTTTCCAGAGTGTTGTGGATAAAGTCAAAACCAGACTCTCCAAGTGGAAGACAGGTTCTCTCTCTCTCGCAGGAAGAACAACATTGATATCGTGAGTCATGTCCGCCATCCCTAATTACACCATGCAAACCTCGCTTGTACCGTCACCAACATGCGAGACACTAGACAAGCTCAATCGAGGATTCCTTTGGGGCAATTCAGCAGAACACCGAAAAATGCCGTTAGTGGCTTGGGATGCGGTCTGTCAACCTAAATCCAAAGGAGGGCTAGGACTTCGACATACAAAGCTTCAAAACCAAGCTCTCCTCATGAAACTGGGATGGAGACTTGTTAAATGCAGAGATGATTTCTGGGTCAAGGTCCTTCGTGATAAGTACCGATGCGGCGATGATTTAATGCCCAAAATAGATCCAAAACGGGGAGGCTCTAACATTTGGGCTGGCATCAAAGCCACGTGGGAGAGGGTGGCTGCTGGTATTGAGTGTCTGGCTGACAACACTGTGAAGTGGAAATCGGAGCGTAATGGATTATTTTCCGTAAAGTCGGCCTACGACAATCTTAGCCCAGAGATTGCAGATCCAGATCCACACTGGAAACGAATATGGAAGCTAGCAATTCCCCAACGTTGCAGAACTTTTATCTGGCTAGCCTCCCGCAAAAGCCTCCTCACGAATGCTGCGAGACATAGACGGGGCCTAAGTATGGATGATCAGTGCCCGATATGTCATAATGGCGTGGAAGACGTATTACATGTTCTTCGGGACTGCACCAATACTTGGCTCCTTTGGAAAGGACTGGTTAACAAATCAACCTGGAAGAAGTTTTGCTCCCTTGGTTCCTCTGACTGGCTCCGATGGAATCTGAATTGTAGAAATCATAATGAGAAAGAGTGGGGTTCTCTCTTTGCAGTTGTATGCTGGTGGCTATGGAGACGTCGTAATCTGATCATATTTGAAGGAAAAGAGTTGCGTAATGAAGCAATCATCGCAAACTCGAAAGCCATATTAAGTTCCATGCACGAGATCCAAGGACACTTATGTGGAACTTCTATAGAGGGTGTAAAACGCAGCAATGGGGAAGAAAGATGGAGACCTCCGGACAATAACTGGATCAAAGTGAACGTCGACGGTGCCTACTCACCTGACAGAAACATTAGTGCTTGCGGTGGCCTTCTTCGGAACATGCGAGGTGAATTTCTTCGTGGCTTTATCTTTCATATCGGGCAAGGTGATGCACTGACAGCTGAGCTACAAGCATGCTTACATGGACTGAAAGTGGCATGGGACGAAGGTTATAGAAATGTCATACTTGAGTCTGATGCTACTAGTGCCATTGAACTACTCTCAGAGGACCCCAACGAACTTCATGATGACTATGTAATAATCAGAGAGGCCCGAGCATTGTTGACTAGGGAGTGGAACGTGAAGCTTTCATATGCACCTCGTAGCTGTAACCAAGCTGCTGATCTGTTAGCAAAGCTCGGTCTTGGGGCGATGCCAGGCGTGTATATTCTACAGAACCCTCCTCAGCAAATAAATAGGGTACTGGATATTGAGTGGCTGTGTGCTGACAACAGCCATGTAAGGAGTTGTTAAGGTTTCCTCTTGTTATCAAAAAAAAAAAAAAGGGAGAGTTAGATTCTTTCCATTATGATCACAAAATAACTTCATTACTACTCTTTTCTTCCTCTTAAACCTCAATCTAAATTTAATCAATCTTTTCCATATCAAATTTGAATAGCATCTCATCATAAGATCTCATGCTTCTAAGACTCATCAAAAGCTATATTTAAGCCTAACGACACAAAAGTCAACATATACAATATCTAAATTCAATCCCTACCCTGTGTGGAAACTTGATCTTGTAAGAGCTCACATGGCTCAATGAAATAGGAAAGAAAATTGACCACTTATAAACCCCAGGTCAATATATTGACCCATACTGTAAAATTATATCTTATCGAGTCAATTTTCAGGTCCTCACTTACCCAATAATACAGATATGTCTTGTTATTTTCATCGTGTAGTGCACAATCATCTCCTATCATTAATGAGCTCAAATGGCTTAATGATGATGAGAATCCAGCAGAAATGATATTTAATGATTTTGTCCTCAATTTAGAAAACATCAAGTTACTTTATTAAGTTAATATTTGGGAGAATCTCAAGAAAAAAACCTTTAAATTTTAAAATTCCAAATCAGTCTTGTTTACTATACTCTAATAACAATTGACAATATTTAAAAAGCAAATGACAACATATTTTTGTAGTCATTTCTGATTTAGGATTTTAAAATTTTAGATGTATGTTTTTGGAATTTTTCCTTAATAATTTGATCAAATACTTTTTCATGTTTCCTAGGTCAAAAAATTCATCCCTTGACTTCATTAATTCCCTTTCGTTATAGGAAATTTTTCTAATTTTCTCATGGGAAAACTCAACTCGGAAGTATTTCTTTTGGAATTCCGCAAAAACTACCTCCTCTTAGAATAAATAGGCTTTAAATTATTTTAAAGCCAACCACTTCAAATTTTGGGGGTGGAGTCATTTTTATAACTTCGCATAATTCCTCAAATAATTACCCCTCATTTTTATCCAATTGTTTGAGTGCTCGTTATATTTTAAATAACTAGATTTGGCTAAATATTATTTAATTAGCAAAATCTTATAAATATCATAAATTCACTTTTTGGGGTATTTTTCTCATTTTAAATCTCGAAT